TTGCTCAACAATGACGCTGTCAACTTGTTTTCAAATATTAGTTCGTTTCATGTTCAATAACAACAGGAAACACAATCCTCACATATTTTGGTCATAAAAATACGATATTTGGCTCTCTTAACAATTCATGTCCTAATGGCAAGGAGGTCGACTGGAATAATGGCAAGTTGTCAGAGTCGTATTTAATGTACTGTTACAAGACCTGATGAAAAGGCGGTTAGACATCAGGTTGGTTTTCAACAGTTGTGATAGCTGGGATTTTACAGAGTAAGTGGTGTGTAATGTTTGTTCACGATTGGCGGTTATTCGAGCCCAACAAATTTTATGAGAATAGTCATGACACTTGGGCTAAACCTTTCAATATCCGTTACATTGCACGTCATTGGAACACCCACAAGAAATGTAAACGTTACCGGTTAGAACATAATCCTAATACATGAGATACCTTAACCGAATGTGATGTGGCTAAGACGAGATATTAGAGAGCGATAGAAATTAGATTACCCATTCATTTTTACAGAGCCCAACGCCATCCTGATAATCAACAATGGAGATTCACAACGTTATGCTTCTCTTTATGGCAGCTGGCTTGACAACAACCACAGGTATGCCCGAAAATTTCATGCGTTACCTATTCTGCGTTATGTTATCAAATGACTTAAATATAATTCGCTGATCGACAAAAAAATGCTCAACGAAAATTTTATTTGTGACGTATTCTACGTTATGTTTTCAAACGACTTCAATATAATTCGCTGATGACAAATGAAATGCCCGACGAAAATGTGAGATTGACTATCAGACCGTCTCGATTTTATGGGTCGCTGTGCGGCTAAATTGCTGAGGAAGTAACTATACTAGTAGTTCAAACAGGTGACCACCTTTAGTCTTCGCTGAGATTTCGATGCCGCGGGCTTTCGATCTGTGATGTGTTTTTATCGAAAGTACCGAATGTGTACATGGCTTCCAATAAAATTTTACATGAACTGTCTAATCTGGCAGGAAACCGAATGACCTGGAATCATTTGCATCATTAAGTGAAAGCGATCGACAGAACTCGAAAAAAAGCCTTTAGAGGTAGCCTATTTTGTCTGGGAACTTTTCAATTCATTGCAACCCACAAATTAAGAAAATATTTTTGTTTGACTGGTGATCAAACACAAGAAAAATAAAGAAAATGTTTAAGTCGTGTTATGGTTGAGTAGGCAACTGAATATTTAATGTGAGCATGAACAATAATGATAATAGAGTCTTTATTCCATCATAAGATAAAACTACATATCTTATGTTACATTGAATCCGAAAAAACTACAATAGAGATCTACATACACATTATGAATTAAAAAGTATGTCATTACAATAAATGGAGCTTAATAATCAACCTATTTACAAAGGTGTTCATAAAGCGCTGTGTATTAATTTTCGGGCGTGCGCAGCCTTTTTCCTAAGATTGTGTACATAGGTCTTCTGGAAAACATTTACATATACGGAAACATTTGGTAGAAACATTAATTCTGTCTAAAATAAGCTACTGTGACATTGTTTTTTATCCACCACCAAAGTTCCTCTCAGCTAGACTACAAAGGCTCCAGTTCGCTATGACTAGTTTCATCACTTGTAAATATGTAAACAGTATATCTACCATTTCGGATCTTGGCTGGCTACCTATCCTGGAGCTAAGGGACTACTCACTACTAAAGACTATTTTTAAAGCGCTGTATTCTGATAACTGGCCCTCCCATTTAAATTTGCAAATCGTTAAACCCGTTAGGCATCTCCGTTCCAGTGTTGCTCCAAGGCTTTATGTTCCATTTGTACAAGGCACCTTTCAGCATTCAGCAGCCATGATTTTTAACGAATTCCCAGGAAATATAAGGAATTGCACAGATTTTAAAGAATACTGCAGGCTCTGCAAGGCGTTCTTTAAGGCGCGCGCTTTGTCTTCCTTGTAAARATATAGAAACAACCACCACCACCAACCAATATATTCTGCATATTTTCTTTCATGTATAGTTTTTATTACAATTTAGTTAGTCATTATAAATTAGTTTTAATATTAAATTTTAGTATCGTAGGCCTTCACAGATGAAGAGCCACACCTTTTTATATGGATATACTGTGAATAAACCGTTATTATTATTATTATAATTATAATTAAAACGTTCTTGATAAAAACTGGAAATGAGATAAAACGGCGTTTATGACATCGGTCTAAAATATTTTGTGCAACCGTAAGATCGGACTCAGATGCCATAGACTGAAAGCGCATAGCTAAAATTAGGCAAAACAATGGATGTAAACAGATGATCAATCTCTGCCTGAGAGTACTGTTCCTTTCTTAATATTCGTAGGACGTGTAAACACTTGTTTGCTTTGACAAGCTTAGTTCTTACATGCTCGTCAAATTTTCCGTCACTCTGCAAAGTCACTCCTAGTAAAACGAAGCCATTACATTGGGGAATATTCAGGGCCGTAACTAGCATGAGGCAAGACGAGGAAATTGCCTCGTCTTGATTTTGGCCTTTTTTAAATTTTTTTTCTTGAAGATTGACTTTTCTGAAGAAAAATGCCACGAAAAATTCTTGAAAGAGCATCAAGTTTTAAATTAGTTTCCATAGATTACAGTATCTATAGTCATTATTATTGTTTGAGCGTCACTCATATACAAAACTGTTTCATTGCAGCCAGCACAATGCCATTTAAAGATCAGTGCCTGTACTGGCACAACTATTTCCGCGCACTTCATCAGGTAAATGCACTTCCCTGAGCATATTCAACATACTCGCTCCAAAGTGTGTCTGTCGTTCCTCAGTCAGTTTTGAAGTCCCAAAAGTAGAGAACGAATTTTTCACGAACCGCCATTTGCCACCATCATAGATAGTCCCCTGCTACCTTTGACATTGGAGCACCTCCGATTAAAGTTTCCACTAAGGAGATGACATGTAGATCTCTCGTCCTCTCCATAGACCTCATGTTAAACTCAAGAGCCCGCTTCAGAAGGGTTTTGAAGAGGGAGGGAGGGGTAGAGATCCTAGGACGAATGTGAATCCCTCCCCCTGGCTGCCCCTCTTTGTCAAAGACAGTACACAATGACGAGAAAACCTTTTCAACGCCCATTACCAATCGGGATCGATTCTGGAAAATCCCGCAGCTCTGAAGCTTAATAATTTGCAGAAATGTAATAATTCCTAAAGTTCCCCATTGTGAAATACATTTTGTGTAAACCTTATCCATAAAACCGCCTTATTAATTTGAGACTCATGGACCAAGCATTTTTTCACAAATGGTCTATGTATATCTTAACAGGTTCCCCCTGTTACGTGGTCAACGGATCTTCAAAAGGAAGCGGAAGACTGGGTAAAGTATCTTGCAGAAAACAACAAATTTCACCACAGTAAAAAGAATCCTGGGAACTTGTACTTGTCAGCAAACAAACCTAAGGAGTATTGTACTGATGCTATTCAGTGGTTCCATTCGGAGGAGAAGTTTTATGATTACAGCAATCCCAAATACTACAAAGCAGCTGGACATTTTACGCAGGTACGCTCTGGAGCCAATGATATACTAGTAGAAATACAGAGGTATTCGAGGCTTCATTTGTAATGTGATGCAGTGAAGTCAAAATAAAGTTGCATACTATATGGAAGTTGTAAAGTGCGTCTGGAGAGTTGTGCAGAAACCCTCTACTTTCGAAAATAGGTATTTCTTTCTTAGCTCAGCTACTTCCCTATGTTATATCAGGTTTGTTTTTCTTTAAAACGTTTTCATTTTGATCTGGAATTCTTGTTTACCAAGCTTTTCTTTTGGGAAAAGGGATTATGTGCAATGCAAATCATAATCGGAATCACTCCAAGGAACAGGGGGGAGGAAAACGGGGAGGGGGCATATGCGCATGTGCTATTCAAATAAAGAACATTCTCGTGTGAACAGGTGGATCTACGGGATCTTTCTTTCAAGGTAAAAATTAGGCATACGCCAAAATTGCCGTTGCTTGCATCAGTTTCCCGCTGAAAATGATTGTTTCTTATCAGAAATATATATTTATACGTATACTTGTTTAATTTTTTGTTTGCCATTTGTCAGGTGATATGGAAAAACTCAAGAGAAATTGGAGCTGCTTGGGCTATTCGAAAAGACAAGAGGCTTGTTATATCAATCAAGTACAGAACAGGAGGTAATGTCATTGGCTATTTTGGTAAAAATGTGTTTCCTCCAACCGCTGCTCTCCAGGGAAAGGAATGGACGCGGCTTCCGAAGTTTACTAGGTGTCCGAGTTTGATGCCCACAACTCCGCCAGACGCAGTGATCGCGGCATCAGAAAGGACCATGTCAAATATTGTTAACTTTACTGGTTCTCTTGTCCTTGCAGTGTTAATTTCTTGATATTCTTTATACTTTGTAAACGGGTGTGCAGATGGATAGGTACCCCAGTTTCAAGTACTTTTAGTTGGTAACCCTGTGATTTTGGATAGATGGTTTACGAGTAACACATCCCCGTGTAATGAACTGTTATTTATGCAATTCAACTATCCTTCGGTATATAAAAAAACTTTACAACGCCAGGTAGCCACTGTAAACGAAATATTTTAAGTTCTAAGTTCCTGATCGAAAATTATGCAAAGATGCTGAAATGCGTATGCAAGGCCGAACAAGATTCAGTAATACAAATATTGTTCACATCTAAACACAAAAAAATCACATGTTCCATATAAATGTGAATCATGTTGATATGGTATGGATAAACACAAGGTGAACACAGTTCAGTAGAACGACTCATAAATGAGATTCGCAAGTACAATGATTTAAAACGACTTCCACGGCGCGCTACGGTAATTTTCTTGCAATAAAGTCAGGTGTTGGGGAAAAAACCTGTAACTTAAAAGAAAATTTAAGGCTTTGTGCATGAAGATACTGCTTGGGAATATTTTCAGCCGTCTGTTCCAACGTGTAATGCGAAGGAACCTTAAAACATTAGGATGGAGAAAACTCGGCGCGGATTGAAAACGAAAAACTTGAGAACTTGAGGCTTAGCTTTGCTTTATTCATTCTCAAACAGCGGGGTAGCGTCCTTGAGGAATGTTGACCAACAAATGTTGACTAATCTCGTGTCATGCATGGCCATGTACAAATTAAACACAATAAACAAGTGATGCACTGTTCCGATGTACAGGAAAAACTGGATACATCGGGAAGTACATTTTTACTGGACGTTTATGATGATATTTGAAAAGCTCCATTACATGTAAAGAGATGAAAAAAAAATACATCTTTATAATGGATCAATAAATTAATTTTCATTGATACACAGATTTTGTGTGATTGATGAGATGGACGTAAATGAAGTGACCAGCTCTTCCACTTCCGGGGTGTTCATCAATTTCCCTTTCCCAAAATTTCAAGGCTGTCATACACCTCACGCACTCATGCTCCTACGCATCCCCCTCCATTCTTCACAGTATTACGTCACCAATGTAATATGTATCGTTCTAAAAATTGATTGGCCTATATATTTCGCTGGTAACTGTACATATGTTATGGTCTGATCTAGTGCCTAATGCTGCAGCCTATCACGTTCAAATACATTCCGCCTTAAACATAAGCCAGAAATCATGGTAATGTTCTTACCAGGTCATCCTAAAATTCTTTGACCGGATTCAAACAACAGCTACAACATGTATATCGGGCTGAAGAACAAGCACAGGGCCACTCAACACCAACTGACTGTCTTTGTAACTAAGAGAGGGCACGGTTAGTGCTGACGGTTTTAAGGTGGCGCTCCTGTATAATGTAGTAAATTTGAAAGATTCAATGTGGTTTAAGGTGATTTTTTATTGCATTGCGCATCCTGTACTGCGCATAAAAATCGCGTAATCGGGCAAATAAGCGCGCGCGCATTCTAAGAACGTGGTAATGTTTTTTAATCAATAGCTCAGGTAAAAAGTGATGGTCTTTAGCTCTTGAACTAGCTCGGTGACCTATATTTTTTATTGCATAATTCTGGTCAACCAATTATCCCCTTTACATCGGAGAAATTAAAAAAAGTCCTCAAAGGGAAAAAAAAAAGGGAAAGTGTGTACGAAGCCCGTTACTCTATGATTCGAAGTATGACCTTGAAAGCAACGACTCGAGGAACGTTTTGAGTCAAAGTCGTTTAAAATTCCTTCATTTTCCACAAATTATATATCAAATTGTTTCATACCCTCAAGACTTTCGACTTATCAAGTTTTTTTCAAAGGTTACTTTAAAATCCTTGCTCGTAATTATATTAGTGCCAGTGCAAGCATAAATGGGGCAAAACTGGCCCGTCATATCTCTTAAACAAGCACCGTTTACCATTTTTTATTGTATTTTTCGAAACAGGCATTGTTAGGAAACATTAAAGAAAAGTTGAAAAAAAGTTTTCGATAACTTTTTTTCCAAGACCTAGAGATATATTATCAATCAGCACTTTATTCGGGTCTAGGTGAATCAGTGCTATATTGCCGATGCGAGCGCAAAGCTGGGCTTAAGGTGTTCAAATGACTGGGGGAGGTTGGACCGAGGCAGCTCATTTTTGAGACGCGAATAGTGGTAAGAGGTCGAGTGATTTTTTTTTTCCGCGGTGCTCGCTGAAATATTTCTTCTTTCGCTAACCAAGTCTTTCTCGCTGATCGAGTAACGCCAAAGATCGTTATAAGTTGTTGTATTCGCTCTTTGGCTACTGTTCGCGTCTTAGTGAGGTCTGCGCTCATGCGCTAAATAGATAATTGAATTGAATTTTTTGCTGTCGGCCATCCCTTTTAATACGCCAAGTAGTATTAGGACCCAATAATACTTCTTTTCTTCAAATCGTTCCAGGGTAGGTAAGATCTAACTGTGATAATGACCTTCGCCGTCAAGAGTTATGAAGAAGTTGGTTCAAATTGTTGGAAAGTTTTTTGAAAACAATTCCACAAACATAATTCGTCGAACACATCGTTCTATGTCCCAAATACTTTGTGCGGATTGAATTATTACTAATCCAACATTCGGATTGTTAAAACTTTATTAACAGTATTGATCCTATTAGAACTTTATAAGCCTGCTTCCCGAACTGACTAATATCAAAAATTGCCTTTATCCAAAGCAATAATAAACAATTATAGCCCACAGAGGTGAATTTGACCTCGGTGCTCATACAAATCCTTCACTGGATATGTTTGGGGTAACATTTTCACCTACCATGATAAATCTGAACTGAACCATAAAATCAGTACAACTATGGTCCTCCCTATGCGGAATATTTGTTAGTGGGGTGTACTCTGTCCGGCGTCCCCTTCCCCTCGCTAAATTGAAAAAAAATTTCGGGTACACCTTACGATTTGTGCTTTCCCCGAATAGTTTGACCACTCGCTAGTGGCAGAAACGTTGAAAAATTAGCTTCTTGCTACTATTATTTTGTTCTTCGTATCGCCGGATAGCTTAGCTTCCCTCTATCTGTTTAAGAGTTCTGCATTTGGCACCATGTTCAGATTGTATCATGTTCAGATTGTATCATCGGTGCGACTAATTATTAGTCGGAGATTTACTCCTATTTTCCATTTTTTTTTTTCTACACTTATCCAATTCCTCGATAATGTCAAGAACGTTGAGCTCTTTGTTCATATTGACACGCTTCATAACTATGATAAGGGGGGCTTAACTTTCTTTATTGCTTTTTAAGAGTATTAATATTCTCCACGAGCATTCTCATTCAAGAGATTAATTAAAATCTTTGCATGAAATGTTGCAACACTTGTCTGCACCAGTCGTACATGAGACTTAGATGTCACGAGTAATTTTTGCGGTGTCTTCGCTCCGAAAGTTATCTTACGGTTCTGCCAAAACGCGTAACCTGAAAGGCCACACGCACATATCAAATTGGATACTTAAATCATTCCGGCTTTTCTTTGGCGAAATATAATGTACAAAGTACTAACAAGCGCTATATAATGGTATCTAATTGCCCTGTACAAAACCTTCGTTCATTTTTCTAAGACGATTTTTACAGATGAGTTTCTAAGAATATTTAAGCTGCAGATTTAATTTTTTAGGGTCTTATACTTTTTATAACAGGAGGAACTGAGTACAGTATTGATACAGTCAACAAAGTCTCGCCATACCGTGATTTCAACGTCAATTACTGCAGTCCGGCACTATATTATTTCCCATGCCGGGGATTGGACACGTTCTTTTAGTTTAGTTGATGGAGGGGGCAACTAGATGCCATACTTGTACCATATGGTAAATGCGTGCGTATCTTAGTGGTAAGGACACTTTTTAACTTTATATATCTTCTTATCAATACTGGATTGTCATGCCCAGGCTTGACCCTTTCCCAAGATGCATAATCAAGTTCCTTATTTGCAGAGTTATTTGTTATTTAACATACACTAAATCGTGGAAATGCGAAACCATATCTTTCCTTCTGCTTTCGAGCATTTTGGGACTAAAACAATCCAACAAAGACCCATCAAGCCCGCAAAGGCGTTCTCAGCTTATTGTAGTGTCCAACATACCCCCGGGTATATTTCCGGTCACACGTTATTGTTAATATATAACCTTTCTACAAATCTGCTTGAAACTTAATGTGATATGCATACAAGGATCGAATTAACTTGCGGTGACATCTCGCTCAATATTATTCCTGACGCAGCTGCGGCATTCATTCGGACGTTTCAGTCGTCGTTCAGTCATACAAACAAGAAACCGATGAAGATATTACAGGTCATAAGTGTGGTGATTCCGTTTACAGGCCTCTTGACTTTATGTTCAGGTATTTATCTGTCCTTTACGTTTCTTGTGTACGTGTGTACATTGTGTCTGTATAAAATATATGACATAAGTACATGATACTATCAGAAAGGATACGAAAGTGGTAGCGAGTAGTTAATCTGGAAGATTGGATACTTTTTAACGGAAAAATGATTGAATATAGCAAGAATCTTCTCTTCAGTTCAAACTAAGTGGAATCATGTCGGCGATTTCCGCATGATATGGTAATTTGCATGAGTAGAAAAACAAAAGTCTTGCACGATTGGTGAGCGAAGTGCAACAGCTGCGTGGAAAGCCACTAAAATTCGCTGCGATAAAATTTATAATACTTTGATTAGGCTGTACTAAGAGAAGGAGTCAGTCTTTGGTCTCAAAATCCAAGAGCAAAAATTCATCCGAAATAAATCCGTTTTAACATAGTGATTACTCCAAATCACAGGTCACCGCAATAAGACGTAATTACTCACGAGAGAGATGAAGCAGGCGATAGAAACAAATAATTTGAATCATTGCGCGCAAAATGAACCGCAATTGAACTTTTGTTTCTCTTTTAAGAATAGAGATTCGCTTGACTGATTTTAATTCCGTTGCCAACACTTAGGAGAGTTCAATATAGACTGCAAGCTCCGGTATTTTTCAAAGTAAGTTTTATGTCTGCAAAGCATCGTGGGTATCCGTATTTATTTTCTCGAAACCTGACTGGCATGCCGTGTATGGAAGAACTTGCAAATGCAAACTATGCTTGATATAAATTATCACAAGGGTCCTCTCCATTTTATTTGCTTGTCCATACACGTTATACTTTGTCTTTGAGTCTTTCGTGCTTTCTTTCTTCGATGAGATACAAATGATTGACAGTATGCTCGTTCTGAGGCAATGTGTGTAAATAATGGTGTTCCTAAGTTCATCATTTCATCATGTTAAGTCCATTTTACTTGCTAATAGTATCTCTTTGCTCATTTCGTGAGTCTAAACTGAGAGATAAATTCCATTGAACTTTTTCCCTCAGGTATGTTTGACCTTCTGAAACTGAATAAGACTCGTTTGACACCTATATTAAACTCGATGACACTTCGAGTACATAAGTGCGACTGGGTGAAATATCTCGGCCATAACGTTGTATAAAGACTGATAGGGTGAAGTTTTTTCTCTAAATATGAACGCATTTTTGTGCCAGTCTGTCAGAAAATGTATCAACACAGACAGAGCAGAGTTGATTACCTTAGCCTAATCCCATTTCCTCCACTAAAACTATTGTTACCCGTACTTGAGTCTGTTCCCCATTGTGGAGCCGTTCTAAGATTTTGACGAGATCATAACTTTAAGCATTGTAAATGAAACCCCGGTTGATCGTCTTTGCCGTTCACATTTGTTTTTCAATCAAATGCTTGCTATTTGTAAGCAAGTAAGTAAACCTAAACTTTTTCTTAGAAAAAAACCTTTTATGGATTAAACGTTTTGAAAATTAATGAAAAGCCTAATTGGCTCAGACCTGTTTAGGAGGATTTCATCATGTGCAGGTATATTCTTGCTAAGACTTCAAAGTGATCCTGATAAGCCTATGTGAAACAATTGTCTGTGTTGCAAAGACGAAATTCTGAATAACCAGGAGGACACCTTCCTATTAAACTTCTTTAGATCAGATCGGTCTATTATTATTTGATCTACTAGCTTTAGACAGAGCAAAAACTTGAACCCTATGTTCAATGGACCCCTGCCGAGTCGTGTTATAACTTTCTGGTGTACTTAGCATTAACAGCTTTGAGGGTTTAAGTCAGTAACACAGAGTAACACAGAAGAATGAGCTAAACGAATCAAAACGAAGAGGGAAATATTAGGTTGTAGGTCTCATCCTGAACAATTCCACCCAACGAGACGAACTCGACGTAGAGTTGTGGTTTTGTCAAACAAAGATTAAAGGGGGTAAGTTTCTAAAATAAACTGTGGTGCTGCGTCGGTAGGAGTAATTAGGTAATTTTGGTTTCATTAACTGAGTTTATAAAGTAAATTGGCCACCGTAAAGAGTTTCAAAGCTGACGTTTCGAGCGTTAGCCCTTCGTCAGACTGCGTATTGGGCTAAAACAGAAAGTGCGAGGATTCCATTTACGGTGGCCAATTTACATTATAACTCAGTAGATAAAACCATAAATAAAGGTTTGTCGTCTTAGCAAATGTATCCTGCCTTTTGAGGAAGTCGTTGAAAAAATTAATTTCGAATTCTGTTGTGACGCTATCAGGGCCTCCTGAGAACGTCCTTCTTGCTAGAGGAACCGAATTTCTCTGAGTTTCAGGTGACGAAATTCGAGATAAATTTTATTCTTATGTACGCAGTTGATTTTGGTCGATGATAACAAGTCTAATGGTTCACCACGTCTCAATGCAATTGTTTATTCTTAGATAACATTTTTTCTGCTCGGTGTTCATACATGTAAGTTATCTCATGAAAACAATGCTGTGAATATTCCTTGATGAGACGTGATAAAAGTGGTTTACAGCATAGTTATGGTAAACATATTTGATCTAACCAAGTCCTTGACCTCTTGCTGACTAAACTTATAGTGAAAAAAAAAAAGGGAATCAATTCATTAAAAAGAAAGGTTTCATATACTTAATGCATGAGAAAACGGTAAAAGAACTGAAGCGGAAAGTGTGACATTCGGTTTCCTTTATCCCAGAACCTGATGAATCGACAAGTGGTATAATCTAGTAAAGATCACAAGATCAGTTTGAGTCAAGTTTCTAGTGTCATAGTATGTCATCATCTGCCGATGGAAGTACGTCACTAAGGCCTAAATTAAGTTTTGGTAAAAGCTTTAACAACCAGACTGAAATCGATACGTTCAAACTTGAATCGGGAGCGTGAGAGAAAGGGCTCTTAGATTTCTTGCATAAATTTATCGGCCCAAAAAGGGGTCTGTACGATTCAACATGTTGGGTGAGGCCATGCAAAATATTTTATTAGTGACCTCCTTAGCTGCCATTCTGCCAATAGCAACAGGTATGTGTGAGTAATATCTTGTGCATCGTCGTTATTTTCTACTCTGGCCGGCTTGTCTGCAACTCATATAAGATCTTTCTCAAGACATTATTCCGAATTAGAGTTTTGCTTCGTCGGCGTTCAGTAAATTATATCAAAGTTGACTAAACAATCTAAGATTGGAAACAGAATGGAAGAGTAATTATAGATTTTCTGCATCAAGTGAAGCATCGCTACCAGTGCAAAAATGCGTATACGGCTGCGTGAGTTCCTTGAAGGTACAACAAGGGAAGCTCGAAAGTAAAGCCGCTTGACAGTCGTTTTTTCAATCTTTCCTACGGATTATTATTTCTAGACCTCAACCCTTTCATGACAAGTTATAAATTAGTTATGAAGGCTGTAGACTTCTGATTGTGCAATACAACGACATTTTCCTCAGCTTCGACTCACCCAGTTTAAAGAGTCACCTATAATTTGCCTCTGTGTCTATGATTTCCACTCTTTGAAACAATAAAAGAGAGGGGTCGGATAATTTCCATTGGCAAGAGTTTGCAATTGTGTTTACTCCGTACCGTTTCCTATATCAATGGAATCGGAAACCAAACAAATAAGTGCTGAGCTGATTTGAACTTGGTTAATCCTTTGAAATATGCTGAGATAATTCTTGTCGGTCACCTATGTTGAGCCGGACAGGAAGTTTTTACAACCCGTGTAAGACTTAGCGTACAGTCAGAGTCACAACGATAGGCTAATGATGTGCTTTTGCTCAACCTGTTTGACTGTGTCTGCTGATTTTATTGTTATGTTTACTTCTTCTGTTTACTTACTTCGAGGAATGTTTTTTTTTCTTACTTTCACCTTAACTCGGAAGATCTTATTCAAAGACCAAATCACTCCCAGCAGTACGGAGAAATTGAGAGTTGCGCCTTTGGCTATCATTTCTCTGATTTCGTGAGGTGGTGTTTTTGTGTTCATTCTAAATAACTTAAGTCTTAGTCGACTTAAGAGCGAAGGGGTTAAAAAAATACAAACGAGGATAATGAACAGAAATGACACACTTCGTTGTTTGAATTCTTCTTTTTATAAATCAATAAAGAATAACTATCTTATGAACCTTACAGTTGCTATTATTCAAAATGATTGGGTTAAAAAAACTTATATTACCTAGAAAGCGAACCAATCAGATACAAGGCTTATCGTAACTTTTCACGAGTCAGGCGTTCTCCACCCTTTCACAGTTAACTCTTTCTAGTTTTGTTGGCCCGGCCATTCTTTTTCACTGTTGTCTTCGTATGTTTTGACTGGCTACTGTGATATTTTCTTTGGTCTCAAGTTCGTACTCGTTAGGATTAAAAGGTTTTTAGAGAACCAAAGTTGCTTCGTAAAGTTTGAGAACAATAGAAAAGGTTTCGGGACAATTAATTTCATTAAAATTTAAATAGGGACGCCTCTTTTCTAACTGTGTTTTCTTTGCTGATTTGTTATATCAATTTCATAACAACCATGATTGCAGAAGCGATGACATTTAAAGAGCAGTGTATTTATTGGCACAACTATTTTCGGACACTTCATCAGGTAAGTAAATATACAGAGGGAACTAGATTGACATGTGAATGACATTTAGTACAATCATTTTCTGATTTGAGTCAATTCCTTTACCATCAGAAGTTTGACCCTTGTAATTACTGTTTCAAATATGATCACGCAGGTGTTCATAGGAGTCAGTTTTCGAATTGCAGTTTCATCGCTTCATACAAAACGACATAATAAGCTAAATCACAACAATAAATGACGTAAAACAAAAAATCCGGAGGTAAAGGGTCATTAGACAAGAAATAACGCAATATTCAATTCTTAAAGGCTTATTGAACACTGACAAATGCCTTTTCAAGTGAAACGTTTGGACTGTTTTAGGTTCAGAATGTCACGTGGTCGATGAGTCTGCAAAAAGAAGCGGAAGACTGGGTGAAGTATCTTGCAGAAAACAACAAATTTCACCACAGTAGAAAGAATCCTGGGAACTTGTACTTGTCAGCATACAAACCTAAGGAGTATTGTACTGATGCTATTCAGTGGTTCCACTGGGAAGAGAAGTTTTATAATTATAGCAATCCCAAATTCTACAAGGCAGCTGGACATTTTACACAGGTGATTCAAGGGCAGGGGAGAAAATGAGTCAAAACAGCCGAAATGTTTCCAATTTCTACGCCCTGGATGGCCCACTTCGTTCAGTTGGTCTCTCGGATATTTGTTTTCTGACAATAAGAGCGTGATGAATGTCTTACCCTGAAGACTTTGAGTGGTCGGGGAAAGCTTTTTGTAAAGCCTATCCAAATTTTTGTTTCCTATATCAATCTTCCTTTAGAACCTCTTTAGTTTTATCCATGATAGAAAACTAGCCCCACTTCGTTCAGTTGATCACTCAGATCATGATTTGTTTTCTGACGATAACAACGTGACGGATATAGTGCCCTGAAGACTGAAGAGTGGTCACGGAAAGCTTTCTGAACTGAATGCTTATCCACATTTTGTTTTCTATATCATTCTTCCTGTAGAGCCTCTTTTGTTTTATCCAACAGAAAACTAGCTCCTTTCGATTTGTTGTCGTAGCACGAGTGGATCTAAGCTAAGATGTGAGAAACACAGTCATTTTTCTCGAAGATACCGGACTGGCAGAAAGTGTCCTTCTGCCCGTTTTACAAAAAAATAGTAAAGTGAAAAAGAAGTTACGATTATTTTTAACAAGGAATTCGTACCAAAAGAACTGACTCTGATTGTGTCTATTTTGAGGATGCATTCGGTTACATGTGTTTGTACAGGGATAGATCAATATTGCAGCCAGCACACCTCTCTGAGGCCCTTTGCTTGGTTATCATAATTAAATATGTTTTACTGTTTAACCTTGACATCTTGCTTGTCATATTTCAGCTAATTTGGATGAACTCAAAGGAAATCGGAGCTGCTTGGGCCATTCGAAAAGACAAAAGACTTGTTATATCGATCAAGTACAGAACAGGCGGTAATTTCATCGGCTACTTTCGTAAAAATGTCAAACCACCAACAGCAGCTATTCTACCTAACTGGCCGCATACTCCTCCTAAATTTACCAGATGTCCGATTGGAACTACACCGGAACCTACCCCCCAACCGACTACCACAGCCACTCCTGCCAAGCCTTATACAGGAGGTAATGCATGATGATTATTCATATCACGAGTATAACAAGCGCAGTTATGTAACATAATCTAAGTAGGATTATTCCAAAACTGACGTCAATTTTGAGTCAATGTTTTTCAAAGTCTCTCTATTCCCCTCTAACCAATCTCACAGTTTACCATCACTGACTCTTTACCTTATAAGTGTTCATGGCAGCCGATCCCTTCAGGCTTACTGCTCGCTTTACGCATGCGATGTTCTTCTCCTTTTTAACTCAGCTTACGTGGCACGCATTTATTTCCAGTGTGGCTGTCTCTATACAGGAGCGCGCATAATTAACTTTGGGTTGAAGGACACCTCAAAATGACTTTCGAATTGTGTTCCGGTCTAACATTCATTTTCTCTACTATTCTAGCATTTAGAGATCAGTGCCTTTACTGGCACAATTACTTCCGGGCACTTCATGAGGTAAATATATGTTATTATATAAAGCGAATTTTCCAAGAAGAAAACAGTTAATAGCATTAGGACTAATATATAGATTTAGCCAAGCCTAAAAGCGGAGCTCCCAAGTTCGTAATATTAATGATAACATAAAAGATGTGCATTTGCCAAGACTCGCCTGAGACACCCCTCCCTTCGTTTTGATAGTCACACCTACCCTACACGTGCAATCTGAAGGCACATGCGTACGTACGCACGGTCAGTCACGTGAGAAACAAACGAAAAGAGGTTATTGACTGCAGTCCACTTAGAAGTGGTGATTATTTTTATCGTAATTCATAAATCTGGTGCAATAGATTTTGTTATCACCCAATTACAACGCGTTCATAAACTTTGCCATTTTGTGTTTCAAATGTTTAAGGTTCCTTTCGTCACTTGGTCGTTAAGCCTTGAAAAAGAGGCTAAGGACTGGGTTAAGTATCTAGCAGATAACAACAAGCTTGAGTTCAAGAATAATTCTGGCAACTTGTATTTGTCCACGGAAGAACCGAGAGAGTACTGTAGTCAAGCCATATGGTGGTTCCATAGCCAAGAGAGGTATTATGATTACATTAATCCTCGTTACGTCAAAGCAGCACGAAACTTTACTCAGGTGAGTCAATAATAATAAAAAAAAGGGTTTCGAATCGCATTTTTATGATCCAAACGTCTCCCTATCCATGACCGTGTCAAACCCAATGACGTCAAGGCAATTTTTTTTACTTTCATAAAATATTGATAGCAAGTATGATTTGGCAACCTGTGTCTGAGAATAAGTCACACCCTGGAATGTGAAAAAAACATTTATTTTGATACGAAGAACACCTCAGCTCCTCGCCTCTCGCTTCCAGCATCATCATATTCATAAACCATAGCCTAAACAGCATTACTCAACTCTTGTCTTAATTGAATTTTAGCTTATTTGGAAAAGCACGAAACAAATCGGCGCTGCCTGGGCGATCCGCAAGGACGGAAAGCTTATTGTGGCTATCATGTACGACTTGGACGGCGGGAACGAGAAGGGTAATTTTGAAGAGAATGTTTTCCCTCCCATTGCGGAAACTTTGGGGCCAGCTTGGTTGAGGGCCCCTCCTAAATTTTCGAGGTGTCCAAGAGGAAACATTGTGACTCGTCCCACTAATGAGTCAGTTATCTCAACAAGACCACAAGTGAGAGCAGCGGCGAGAAGATCTTGCATTAGCTTGGACCTCTTCATTGCATTTGTCATAGTTGCGACCTATTTTTGATAAACGGAAACAAATTCAGCGGAATATCTAAAAAGGTTTCCCTTTTGCCCACTACTGAAGACTTCAGTGCCTACAAATACGAATCGAATTTTATCTTAAAAACTGACGGTTCTCCAAGTTTTGTGGTGGAGTTGTTTGTTTTCGAAGGAGAGCAGAAGCAGAGCCAATCTGCAGATTCCTGACTCGGAAATATTGAGCTTCCATTGTAAATATTAGTTAGTTGCCGGTGAATATTTCGGCTATTTATTGAAAATGACACTGAATGTGAGGTGTACGAATGCGATTTTTAATACTGGTAATGATTGGCCTCGGTACATGCATGTCCCATTTTCCCCTATGGTAAATTATTAATGTAAAGTGATAATTACAATTGTATAATTATAACTATTAAAGTCGATATGCGTTGCACCACAAGAGATACGATAAAAAGACTGATTTGCTAGCTCGAGTAAGGTATCCTAGCGAAATACTCTTGTGTGAATAACTACCAAAATTTGTCGGTAAGGGGAGGGGGGGGAAGGGGAGTTGTGGGATCCATTCTTCCGTGAAAGGACTTTCAAGTAAACTCACAACAAGAGCACAATTATTGCAAAATCACAATTCTGGAATAGGAAGGACCAGTGATTAACCTTTTAACTTCTATGATCTGACTATTAATTTTCCCTGTAGCTGCTCCACATTTCCTTTTAAATTAATTACGAGAATTTAGTGTTGATCAAGATAACAACTACTACCTGATAAGTTTTGAGTACTCTCATTACCTTAATACTGGATTATGTGAGGAGATTATAGGGAGAAGTTACATGTTAATCACTTCTGGAAGGGTTGACGTAGCAAAAAGTGTTTTAAAGAGAAAGCACTTGTGCGTTTTCTTTTCAGTATGACGTGGACAAATACAAATAAAAGTGTAACGACCGTCAAGTGATGGGAATATTCTATCAAACAGTAATTACAGTGATTTTCTTAACAAGTAAGATGATAAAGAACACTTAGGATGACTTAAACCTACTTTGTAAATTATGATGAAATATCAAGCAATAAAATTTATACTAATTAAAAATATTTGTTCCAAATTAAGCCGGATGATCAAAGTGTCTAAAACTTTGACGTTTGTACATAGATGTGCTTGACGTGCGAGGGACCCTGATTGGAAGGCTTTCACAAATACTCCGAATATGCACCTTTTACAAAGAGTGCTGGAGGTGTTTGTTTACTCTTAAAGCATATGCTCCTCCTTATTTGATATACGCCCTGTGTATATGCCATATTTGGATCTGGAAGAAACAGGGATGGTTACTAACTTCCTCCCCTATACTCATATTTTAAAATGTAGCAGAACATCAGTGACGTGTAAGAAACAATGCGTAGCATATTCAATTGTCGAAATTTTGTGGAGGTTGTCCCTCCAGAATTACCCTTCTTTCCAAATTCTGACTTTTATCATGGACCGCAGTGTGTCAATTTACATCTCGGTCATGGATCTAACGTCCCACTCTTAACCGCCTACAGTCCTGTAGGTATCTCAAGACTCCGTGGGAACCCAATTGTCTTATCCCACTTAATTAACAAACTGCTGAGTATTTTATCTCCGGTTTCCTCCCCTTCGCGTTAGATAAAGGGAGATATGCATTAGCCACAACTCTTTCGGGTACTTAGCGACTACATCTTTGATCGTGAAGGAGGGTGCGGTGGAGTTTTTTCAAAGAATAAACGCCATTTGATTACAGAGCTGGCAGAACTTGCTGCATCTTGTACCGCTACATCTTTGGCATTATAATCTACTGGTTATGAAGTGACGCTGGGGAGGAGTGTGGACGTGATTGTAACCAATCGTCGCATCAGTTTCTAAATGTCGAAAACTCAGAAAGCACTCTTGACAACATTCCAATGTCAACACTGAAACAAAATAACAAAACGTAATGAAAGTGACTTTAACAAAAGCTTGATAAAACGGACGTGTGTAAATTAGCAAATTAATTATTGTCGAGCTATCAGTTTCAGCATGTCTTAATTACCACTAACTAAGAACAGAGAGAGGAACACAGATTTTTGCGCAGGGCGATAACCGCACATATGATAACTTCGAGTCGGCGTTTTGGTTTTCTTTGTAGCCTGGTGGTATCTTCATCTGTGTTTACGAATGTAGGTGAGTGATATGGCACATTTACGTCAATTTTTATCAGTTCAAAGGATTACGTATTAAAGTAGCTTGACGACACTGTTGAGAAGTCTCCAGGAATGTATCAATAAAGTAACGTACAGAACAGTTGATCGACTGCATTACTGAGTAAGCAGTAAGGCTGGAAATCTAACTGTAAAAGTATACTAAGCCATAGCTATATATTCAAAACTTGTGGTTTTAAATATAGCATTTTTAATGGACTGTTAATGAATGGAATAATTTACCGAATCCGTAGAGAGTCAAAAAGTATTTCAGCCTTTATAAGGAATGCTTTAAGTTTTATCAATGATAGTTAGAACTTTTGTATTTATATTTCTATATAGTTATAATTTTCGTACACCTTAATTAGTGGGACATCCTTAGCGTGGTGCGTCAACGCTCTAGGTTGACTCCTTCTCTAAAACGTTTCTTAATTGTGGTGATAAATTTAATTTCATCTATTGTAGATATCTTTTGTAATCTTACGGAGTGAATCTGAAATGAATGAAATACTCAGGATTGATTAGGTTATCAGGTATTTATAGTGTCCGCTTGGAATTAAAAGCTAACTGAAGAAAACATTCGTATCACTGTTTTCGATCCATCAAATATTTTTTTCGTAATTTGCATTTTTAAGATTACTATTTTGACTCAAAACAAAGAAATTCATCTTAAAAAGAGTAAACAAGCTTAAATTATGTCCAACAGATTGACTCTCTAATTACATGTTTTGACACTTAATTAACTCCCTGCTTCGCATAGGCAAATAGGTCCAAAATCTCTTAAACTGTCTCTTTCTCAAGAACATTGAGAAGCTTCATAAGAGGATGTAAGAGATATTCATAGCCCTTGCTTAAATTTTCTTACATCAACTGAATTCAAACACTTAAAGCCGCCAGAGTCAATAAAGGAACAAATTCCACAATTGTCAAAGTCTGATTCATTCAGAAAGCATCTTGACTGGTTTGGCAACTGCACCCGGCTTCTTTAAGAAGACGGGCGTGTCATGCACGCTTTTTCTATTTTTCTGATCCAAAGCAACAGTCTTGGAGATCTTTGTTGTGAATCGAATACCCTTTTTTTCTTTATTGCAGACGGAAATAAGAGTTTCTACGATGAATGGATGTGGTTGCCGTCACTCAAACAACTTTCACTCAGTCAATCAGTTGATCAGACCATCAGTCAAAGAGTCAGTTTGACAGACAAAAGCTCATTTAGTCAGTCAGTCAGTCAGTCAGTTTTTCTCACAACCATTTAATATCCACAAATTCATCCATCCGTTAATTCATTCAATTATTTATTTACAGTGATTTAATCAATCATTTGATTGATCAATCAGTCATTGTCTTGACCGGTGATAATCTTTTTTTATACAATTAATTTGTACACAGGCTCTTTGAACTGCAGACAACAGTCGCTGCTATGGCATAATTACTACAGAAGAATTCACCAGGTTAGCGCTACTGTTCACGATTAAGGTTTCTGTATAAATTGGCAACTCGCCTATTTCTGGAAACGGTGGATGGACTTGGGAGGGCAAGGGAAAAACTCGGACAGGGGACACAAGTGTTCCCCCACGAACCCTTAACACCCTAGCATCAGTATGCATATTCTCCATACTGTTCTCTATGCATTTTCTAAGGTACTGAAATGGACAATTTGTCTAACATTCTGAAGAGTTTTTTTTAACTGATGATCATTTCCTCTGATTTAGTTAACCTTAATGTTTGATTCAGGGGTGATATTGTAAGGAGAAATTAGATGCTAGTCACTCTTAGGAGTCAAAGTGATTTATAAAACTACGCTAACTCAACCTAATCCCAATCATGGGCTGTTGTTCTGACATATTACTGATTTTTTCCCATTAGGTACCTAATGTATCATGGTCATGGGGTTTGAGGAAAAAGGCTAAGGACTGGGCGGATTATTTGGCCGAAAAAAATTTATTCGTTCACGAAAAAAAGGATCCAGGAAATCTTTTCTTGTCTGCAGGAAAACCTGCTGAGCCCTGTACCGCTGCGGTGAAAGCATTTTACACTGAGGAGAAATTGTACGATTACAGGAAGCCGGAGCAATTTAAAGGCGCTGGACACTTTACTCAGGTAAAAATGAACCAGTTGCGTAAGAGTGTTTTAGACCGTTTCTGCTCAGTGGCGGCTGTACTATACATCTGTTATTGTATTTCTCGTTTATCTTAGGTTGTTTGGAAAAACACAAAGTACATCGGCGCTTTCTACAAAACTAGAAGTGACGGCAAAACTGTTGTGGTGATGAAATATTCTCCCGGTGGTAATGTTCGAGGTTACTTTGCTAAAAATGTCTTTCCTCCGAGAAAACCGATCATCGTGACAAGCCCTTGGAAGTTCACTGGCGTGACAACAGCAGATCGGACTTCAACTGGTAACGCAACATTCAGAAATCTCACAACACTGGAACCGAAACGAGACGTCACAGCAGGTGCTACAAGTCTCAGAGTCTGGATAGGGATGCACTTCGCCTTTCAGTGCTTTTTTGTGGGTTTCCGATTCCTGTGTTAGATCACTAGAGGCGAATATGATAACGGATAATAAATTAAACATGGAGTCGTGTTTTCTATTGGTAGAATGATTCCAGTTAGGTCCGAGGGGTACTGGAATAGAACGAAAATAATCAACTGTACTACATGTGAAATAATTGATAAATCTGAAAATATCTCCATTCCTGATTCAAAGATGTAAAAATAAATGAACTCAGAAACAATTTTTTAAGTAAAATAAAAACCTTACATAGTACAATAGTACATGTATCCTGAACCCGTTCGGCCAACCTTGAAGATTAGTAGAGGACGTACAAGATAGCACTGTGATCAAGATAGCATGAAACAGAATTTTAAAAAAATCTGTGCGAGATTTTCAGCAAATGCATCTTTTCGGACGCGACTTTAAGGGTAAAAATGTTCGATAAAACTTCTCACCAGTAACTAGTGCACAACCTCGTTCCCAGGGCCTTTTCCCTTAGCTGGGGGTGGGGCCCACAACTAAGGGAAAAGGTCCGTGTTGTCAAAAAAGCTATCGTTCAGTTTGGTTCGCTTTGTGGTATTTTTGTGGTTTTCCCGGATTTCGGCCACTGTCTATATCTTACACCGCCTCTATTCTTGCAACTGTCCCGTTTAATCGCTTTAAAATGTCTTCTTGTTTCATATGAAAACGCTCTGAATCAATTTGCTTGCGGCCGTCGACTATCAACTCATTCGATCTGGTCAATTCCTCCAGGGTTGAAGTAAGCAAAGAAAGAGAGCGCCTAAATCATCCAAAACTGAATCAAAGTCACTTCGTTCCAGTTTACCAAACTTTTTTCCCACGAAGCACTTGCTCACAATGTTATGTAGTTCAGAAACTTTCTCCTCCTGTCTCCGGCTTTGTTCTTCTTCTTCCGAGAAAACTGCAATATAATCGTTTTCTTTGGGACTAAAGTTCTCTCGAATATACTCTCTATAGCGCCTCACTCTCTTCTCTGAAACGTCCATCTCCAAATCTTGAAGAAGTCGAGCCCGCTGTAGGGCAGCTGTCGCGTTTGCGTTGTCGTAAACCCTTCGGAACGTGTTGAACCACAGGCAGCCCAAGCTCACTACTAGAAAAGCGGACGTGACTCTTACCGTGTTGCGCAACGTTATATAGTTATAAAGGTTTGTATGGGATGTCACCGGTTTGCCTTAAAAGAGAGGAAAACATGTCTTGTTTTGAAATAAAATGGACTTACCTTACTGCCTTGTTGTTTTCTTTGTTGATTCCTAGCGTCTCAGGCCATTTTGAAGCGTTTTCGGCGAGTTAGCGCTATCTTGGTGTTCAACTATATTGGTGGATTCAACGTGTCCGTGGATTCTCCGAACCCGTCTAATTAACGCGCTTAAAATCACGTTAGTTATTGCGGCAAAAAAAGGAAAAAAAGCCCTAATACGCAAGAATAAGAGACCTCTCATTATTTATGTTTTCTAATGATTTGTCCTCATGGGTTCTCAATTTTTTATCATAGTCCCCTCTTTATGCTCTGTGTATGGCAACGATTGACCCTCCCTCCTTCTTTCCCCATGAAAATTGTGTGATCCGCTTTAAATACTCCAGCCTTTCCCCAACCCCTCCCCAGGCGATAATTAGTTGCTGGCGAGCCCTAGCGAGGCAGTGGCCTATTCTTTACAATAGCGAGAAAAAAACCAAAATTTTTCGGATGTAAGATCGGAAACATGCACTATCGATTGCGTTTTTTTCTATCCAAGGTGCTAGTGATGACATCACATAAAATGCAAGCGGAAATATCTATCGATTTCGAGCAATAGCTGTGTAGAGCCGTCCCGCTCTGCTAGAAATCAAGAACACGATAAACGAGATCAGTTTTTAATAGAGCTGTCTTTAATTGCTTGTGGAAGTATTCATCAAACTCATGAACAGTTTAGTGATGACTCTCGAGGAAAACAAGATATTTTTATGTGTTTGGCTGCTCTAACATGTGAGAAATTTTTGGCGATTCACGAATGGAGGTGCCAAGATATCGATCAAGTCCTACTTCATGGAGATCATTTTTTTTCCTCAGTGCATTCAGCAGCAGTGAAGTGTTAGGCAAAAATGCTTCCATTCGGAGTAAACTGCCGACTGCAGCTTGCTGGTCTCGGGAGAAAAGAGAGGAAGGTGTGAAGCCAACCTGCTTTATGCAAAAAGCGACTTCGGTACTGCAGGCAAATCATTCACAGTATTCTCAGCCCGTTGAGGCGTTAAATTAGATCGTTGGGTCAAACTCTCTGCCCGTAAATAATTCGACCATTGAGTTACATTTGCCCGCTGAGGCGAAAGAAAAGCTTGCAATCATCGCTCGTTGAAGCTAACCGTTCAACAAAATGTTAATCGTTCGTTAAAGCTAACCATTCAACTGCAAACATAAATGACTGTCTGGGCTTTGAGACAAATTCTGAGCCGATTTCATTAATGAAATTGGTCAGTCCAATTGTTTATCAACCTTCAAGTCAAAAGAAAACTTCTCGAGCACGACCGATTAAATTGTCGTTTGCTGTTGTTGTTTCACAAAAGCCCTTTAAAACTAAACTAGTTCGAAAAATCCTAATTCCGCTCTTTTAAAAAGCCACATCAACCCGTAACATACCGTTTATTTCAAATCGTATTATCAGTATTTCCTTCAAGCTCTGACGCCAGCTCTAACTTTCACATTGAAATTGCTAGTAACTAGTCCTTAAACGTTTACTTTTGAAGCCGGCAACAAAGCACCTCAAAACACCTGCAGTGGAGTACGGAGTTTGTAGTCTCTAGCATCGATATCAGCACCACAAACAAGCAGAATCTTTACACACTGAACGGCCTCATTCTTCGCGGCATAATGTAACGGAGTCTGGTCCTCACCTGTAGTCTTCATATCAATATCAGCACCATTATCGATAAGAAATCTGACCTTCTTAGTATAATCAGCCGAGGCTGCCACATGTAGAGGTGTTCTACCATAATCATCGGTTTTGTTGATGTCAGCCCCTGAAAACGAACGCTAATTTGTTACTGACTAAGAATATTATGATAAAACATTGGTTGCGAGCTTAGTTTCATCAATTTTTACAAGACAAAAGCGCAGCCCTTAGAGTATTAAAACAGGGGGAGTGTATCAAAGCCCTAATGTGCATACATACCACTTGAAGGCACAAGTGCGCGCCACCTGGAACAGAGTTGCGCATAATTACTCAGTGGGGGGTATTACAAGATAGGGTTTCTAGAGGAGTCGTTTCTTGCGTTAGCCCTTCGTCAGAGCGAACGAGGGGCTAACACTGAAGAGCTAATGAAACCAAATACTCAAAATAAGAATTAATAAATACATTGGCGATGACTCCCTGGCGGATGTTACTAAAAGTGGTAACGGTGAACGGGGAACGGGGAACGGGAAACGGAAAACAGGAAAAGGGAAACGGAGAACGGGAAACGGGAAACGGGAAACGGGAAACGGGAAACGGGGAACGGGTGTACAGCGGTAACCCACCTGAGAATTCAAAATGGCGGAGTAAACAATGTTTACAAACACTGATTTTATCGCTAGGTCACCGCTTGCAGCGAAATTAGACGACTCACTTCTATTTAACTATTGCCCAGGCGAAGCCACGAAGCCTAGTATTCCGAGGCGAGAATTCTAAGTCAACGTTTCTGCAATGGCTGCTACCATTTGTTCTGACGTCTCTCTTCGTTTTTCCTTCCTGAAATCTGCATCTTTTGGCAGAGTTTGGGTATGTTGGTTGTTTGCATTGCCCAACAGCATTTTTTGCAGATAAGTAGCAAGGAGGTAATATCTTAGATTAACAGAAATGAGCTAGGAAACATAATAACCAGCCTAGTTACTAAAATTACTACATGCAGATATCTGCTTACCTTACCGCAAAATAACATCAGGAACATATCTTTGTATCGACCCATAAATTTCCATGTAAACAATAGAGAAATCAAACATTGACAGAACTTTTAATAACATTTAATTTAACAGGAAAACATCATTTATGTCTTCAAGAATGTAGGTGTATGAATTCACATTCATGCTAATGCTTACAATAATATTTACACTGTATTGATCTTATTCAAGAGAAAGTGATTCCCATAATGGGCGTGAAAGTCATTCAGCTGTTTGCTTTACAACATTATTGACATTGCTAGGTTGTAACGGTGAAGATATTGGAGGTAAACTTCACTACCTTGCAGTACAATTACTCTATGAATATAAGAATAAATGTCGCGAGCTTGTAGTTCTGAGTTGACTGTTCAAATGTTGTGCATGAATTGTAAGATACTCACCTCTCCGAGGATTTGATTTCTATGCAACCTGCAATGTGTGCCAGACAAAAACTAAATTTATGAGGCA